TGTGTTTTGCATTATTGTGCTGACTAGTTATTGTAATTATATTGTTATACTAGGTATTGGAAATWATAAAATGACTGCCAGTTTACTAGATTTGCCATGTCAACAAGAAACTGAAAGAAATGGCTGTAATTTTATTTTGTCATTATTTTTGGGGGCCAGAAATATTGTTTTATTGTAGTTTTTAATTAAAAACCATCTCTACTGTTATAAATACAAGTAATAATTAAATAAGTGTAAGGTATTGAACTGAACGGGTTTTTACGGCACACCTGCGACTGCTGATGAGGCGTCGTGACGCAATCAACGCGCGACGACAGCTTGAATTGTTTCGTCAAATCGTGGCCAGACGGACCTCAGTTTGATGTTTTATAAACAAGGTGGTGTATAGCGACCTTTACTTTGACTTTTTAAAGTAGATTAAACTAATTCAAACCTGAAATGCTTGCAAATATTGACTTRCAGCTCCTCTGTCTGCAGACGGCTTCTACTTCCCTTTGAAAATGGAGGAAATCGCTGCTTTGTTGTTGCTTCAGCYATTAGCTCCATCAGCTAGCTCCAGGAAAATGGAGAAAAAACTTATTTGGAACTTTGGGAAATTACATCTTAGACTTAACTGATTCATTTATAAGTACAACTACTGTTAAATGCAACGCAATTGCAACTGTTAACTGTAACTCAACTGCAACTGTTAACATGAAACTGTTAAAGTTTAATGCTTGTTTGCAAAAGCTAAAAGCAGCAGAACACATTCTTAATATAAAGCAGCAGAAAGGTGCATTATTGTAAAACAACTGTAGGTACAAACATGCATTTAAAACACGTTTTRTGCGGGGTTTAACGTTTTATTRCATGTAGAAATATGTGTGTTTAGAAAGCTAAATTTTGGCATGTTTTCCCTCAAAACTGCCATTYATAGCACAGTCWGCAGAGTAARAAAWGGTCTTTCTGGTTGAYAGATTGATTTAAGAGACGCAGTTCTGCAAAGTCTTACATTAGTTATAATAATCAACTATTTTAAAAAACGATAATGCTATATTTAACTTATTTCCTTCAAATAAATAGAATTGTGTGTGAGAGAGTGCAATCATTCTTTTGTTTCTTTTTAATAACTGAAATATTATCTGCAATACAAGTATTTTAGTTAAAAATATTCCCTTTAAACCAATGAAAGAGCTATGATCTGCCTTTGTTCATGTGCTTGTCATTTCTTTGTTCAAGGACAATTATTTTTTATATATGTTTAACCATAAGTTAAGTAACTCTTTCACCATTTTTCTTTCCCCACATTTTTCTAATTCAGATAGAAAGGAGACCATGGTGCCATCATAACACTGAAGAGCCCGTGCAGCTTGCTGTGTTCTAGGCTGCGGTCATCCATTACTTCTTTGGTGGGAAAGGCTCTAAAACAACTACTTCTCTACCCAGCAACACTACCTTACAGGAGAATACCTAGATGGATGNATTTTAATTACTTTTCCTGTTTTAGCCCTTTGACATCGCAAGATGAAACGGGCACTATAAATAAAATGTATTTTTACAATTTGTATACAAATTTGACTGATTCGTGTTTTTCCTAGTAAATGTTCAGTTGTTGCATTTTCCTGGATGATGTTACTCTAGTAGAAAAAAAGCTTCCCACAAATATGTATTAGGTAGAACTAAATGAAATTTTGAAGGTTAATAACCCTGACGCTCATTCACCCTTCATTTGAAAATCATTAAACATGAACTGGTTGATATCATTACTAGATAATTCCACACAGAGGACATGAAACTGTTTACTTATAGTTCAGACCATATTTGTGTTTTAAATAAAAGAAAAATGTTTTGTCTTGTTGTGTCAGAGCGCCCCCTGCCTGTTAGGAAGATGCTACTACGACCAGAACAACTGACTGCAGACTTTCAACAAGTCAACGGCACCCTGATCACAACGATCCACTGGAGAATATCCCATCATGCACTGGACTCGACCGCTGTTGAGGGCTTCCAGTTCACTTGGACGCTGCAGTCTGAACTCAGTGCAGCGACAGAAAGACTAGAAGATGCACGTGTGTCTCAGACACAGACAATTGCACCGGTAAGGAAAACTTTCACTGASACAGCAGTSAGGTAAATCCAAGATGACTCATTGTATTTCCTTATTTATGCATTTATTTTTGTGGTTTTAAACTTCCAGTCTGAGCGATCGCTTGCAGTTGTGGGTCTTCAGGCTGATAGTACTTACCGGCTGCAGCTCCAGGTGCTGACGGCAGGTGGCAGGAGCGGGGCAGCGGTCTCAAAAACCATCCATACACCAGCAATCAACAGCACACTTTGATAGGTAATAGCATCAACACAGTTTCTCCAGTTATTTATAAATCCAGTCATTAAATGACCCAATAATAAATTATTATTGTTTTTGTTTTGAGAMTATATTAAAGTTTGTTAATTTATTTTAAGGCCATGACCCCAMAACTACAACCATTTGCTGCAACTTGGGCGTTTTTACCATCATCCACTTTTCTGCATCTGTCCACTGAGCAGCAGGAATTCAAGTACCGAAATTTTGTATAAAAATGTAAAATAAAATAAACTCTTTGTATAAGCTGAATTTCTCTTACTATGTAATACTTCTGCTTCGATTTCTCTTTTACGTTATTCAAACTTCATGGACTTTGTGAGCCTGCACAAACTTTATTCTTTTGTGTGAATGTGTTTCTGCATCTGTTTGGTGTTTGGATGTTTTTATAAACTCTGACCACCTTACATCATTCTAGCCAAATGAACTTGTAAAAAACATTTTCTTGTTTTTGAGAAAAATAAAGCACTGACCTATTGTAAAAATACAATAATAGCAACGAAATAGATTTTTCCTGAGAAACGACCCTCTCCATTGCACTTGATGTGCTATTGTCTCAGTGTAAGTTCATATATTTTTTTACAATGGTTTTTTTTTTTTTTACTCTGACGTGCTTGTTTGCATTCAGCCTGTAATTACAATGTAAGCATTTTCTTCTGTGTAACTTTTCACCATACATTTTTTTCTCTAGTTTATTCTTTTTTGACCCCTCAGATTTATTTATTTGTTGTTGTACGTTTTTGTAATTAAAATCATTAACACACACTGTGTTTTGCATTATTGTGCTGACTAGTTATTGTAATTATATTGTTATACTAGGTATTGGAAATTATAAAATG